AGATGATGTGAATTTTTCATTATATTGGATGAAGAGAGTGAGTGGGAATGAGAAACTATCCCAAGAAAGTAATTCATCTCCATTCACATAAAATTTGATAGTGGAACCATGGCCTATTTATTAGATAATCAAAGAACATATGAATAATAAATCCATTCTTATAGATTTCCTAAAACAATTTGGATTTGAATGAAAACATATTACTTATTTCTTTGAATAACCTACTAATTTAGCAATGTTGAACCAAATATACATTAGTAATCTGTGTTTAATTCCAGTCACATTGATAACCCAGATCTTCTTTGATTATCTAATAAATAGGCCATGGTTCCACTATCAAATTTTATGTGAATGGAGATGAATTACTTTCTTGAGATAGTTTCTCATTCCCACTCACTCTCTTCATCCAATATAATGAAAAATTCACATCATCTCTATAGAATGAAAATCTATGGAAGAAATATTTGCGTATAACACTTACATTTCTGCTTACATATCCTCCCACTTGCAGTGATATATGATATTACAAATGTTCTGACCAAGTTCATTTCTTGAATGCACAACATTTATCTTGTTGATCAGCCATGGCCAAAGTGATACAGAAAAAGTTATGTTGCCCTTGTTCCCTGGAACTTCATTTCCCCTGTCCCTGTGGTCAGTCATTGCTACCCTAGAAGTCATCGATATGTAAATTGATTTTAAAATTAAAGCAATGCTTAGTCTAAGTCTAAGTGTATTTCAGCATGGCCTAACTTGGCGCAATACAGTGTGTGCGTGCGTGTGTGTGTGTGTATTTGCTGCCCGGCATCTGTGTTTAGCCATGTCTAATGTGGGGTATTAACAATATTGAATTGTGAGAGGAAACTGATTTTGTTTGTTCTTGCTAATGAAGGAATTTGTGCTATTCCTTTTCTAGGTACAGCATTTCCTACATACCATTTGCAAGGTAATCTTGATTGCCCGCATTTTGTTCATAGGACAAACACATTTCCTCCGTGATCCATATGGGTTGGAAAGTCAAACTAATCTTAATGAAAAGCTGTTCTGTGTGCCAGAAATCCAAAAATTACTTATAAAAACTATATACTTTCTGGCAGGAATGACAGGCATATGATTGTTTTAGTGAAATACTGCCATCAGTATAGAGTTGCTTTACAAGTGAATGCTGAGAAGTTTTAATGTGAATGCCAAAAAGTTTTAATCTATATTATGACAAGGGAAGATGAAGAAAGGAAAGAATATTGAGACCTATAGATATGTGATTGGTATGTATAGGTAGCATTGGACAATTCTAGTTTGAATAAGAAAAGAATTGACAAATATAGAGTTATGATACTGATGACTTTCGGGATAATAAATATCAATATAGCTTCTTGTCAGGATTTCATGGAAGATATGAGTTTTGAGATATGATTAAAAGGAAATATAGAGAGAGTTTGTTTAGTGTGGTTGGCTTAAATGATGCAGTTCCTAGGTTCATATACTGCCTTAAGTCATAATATGGATCATTGTGCTTAGCATAACCCTATCAGTTGTGACTTTGCTAATAAACTGTGTCTAAATATTTTGGTCTTGTCTAAATCTAGTCACTCATAGCTTCATCAGCATTTCTTTCCACAGGGATGCTGTGAAAAAATGTTTTGCTGCATGCCTCACATAACAGGTAAACAAACAACCTAATAACGTCCAGAAAATACAGTGACTGGTATGTTAGAGTAAAATGGTTATATCCTTATTTTTAGCTGTGTTCATCTTCATTTATAGTAAAGAAAAGGACTCTACAAACATTTGGAAGGGCCTTGGAGAGATGTTTTGACATAACATGCAGCATTTTTAAGGTAGTTTGAAGATGTTATGGAAAATTCAGAAGTACAGAACAAAACCATATGTATTGCAATACCCAAGGCAGTGATGGCTAAGCTTTTCTGGACCGAGTGCCCAAAGCACATGCCCGAACCCCCAAAATTCAATGTGTGCGGCCCTCCTTGCATGTGCTCTGCCTGCCCACACCCATCCCCCTGCACATGTGCCCCCTGCATGCATGTGTGACTCTTGCATGCCCCCCGCACATATGTGGCACAGACCCCAAGACCAGCTGGCCAGCAGCAGGAATGCACACATGCCCTGTGAGCTGAACTGGGATGACGCCCTACATGCCATCAGAAAGGGCACTACGTGCCATGTCTGGCACACGTATCATAGGTTCACCTTTGATACGTGTCATAGGGATCTGATTTGCTGTCCAGGTTGGGGAAGATGGGAAAGTCCTCATCAATGTTCCTTGGATAAGTTCTATTAGGCAAAGTGGTCCTTTCAGGAGAGCAGCAGATTTGGGGAAGTCCATTGTAAAGGAGATAGAATATTGAAGTCATCAGCTAGTAAGCAGATGGAAGGTTGAGGTGTTTCAGTTTCTTACTATGTTATGTTCCTTTATTAGGACTGGTCTTGGGCTGTTCTGTTAGCTGGCAAGGAGACTTCTGCCCTCTGTTTTAGGTGGGAGCTTTGGGGCCAGGGAGGGTCAATTTGGGTCTGATGGAATTAGGCAAAGAGAGGAGCTGGATTTGAATCTGGTAATGTTCAATTTCAGGAATTTAAAGGATGCATCCTCCATTTTGTTAGTTATATTTTCTCCACTCCAGAGAACCTGCAGTTTAGGATATGTTTAAAAAAAAATAGTTGGGAAATAGTCCCCAATTCACTGTGAGGATTAAGATGATATCCTGATTCAAAACAGGTTTATTAAGTTTTAAATCCCTTTAATTAATCTCTACATAAAATAAGCCAGTTTTACAGATGTTATAATACCTATCTAAATGTTCCCATTTTCTTCATTTAATGCTATGGAATAAGCAATTGTAGATATGACGTGGATATTTTACACTCATATTATGGGGGACAGTAATAGCTAAGATATTTCTAGTTAGTAAACTTTTTTTTCATTTTCAAAAGCTTTTCTACACGTGACTTGTATCAGCAGCTGAATTACAAACTAAAGAACAGATTGTTGGAGGGATGCATTTAAAAAAAAAAAAAGAATATGCATTTCTGCTTATTCCCAAAGAGAATGCCTTCTGTTACTGCAATTAACATATTCTACCACCAACAGTATTCCCATTTGAAACTGCAATATACTTTTAATAAAAACAATTTTCTGCCTTTCATAAGATAAACCAGATAATTAATGGAGAAATTACTTACAAAACTTTTGGTTTGGTTACTTTTTGCAGGCTAAGTTGGCTATCTTCTTACACTGAGGACTACAACACCTGCACAACCAAATGATTCTTGAAACAGCACACAGCTGCCTAAGAACAAAGCATTAACGTGTTAGGTTAACATGTGACTCAGAAGACAAAGCTACCATATATTCTCCTGAAGATAACACATTTTATGAAACTTTCAAGATAAATTATGTCTCGTCTTCACTTGCAAAACTAATACTTAATGTATGCCACAAAAAAAAATCTTTTTTTCAGATGATTTTATTTTGGAAGTAAAATTGATATTCTAGTAGGGATGGGATTTCTATTAACAGGTTTCTATCAAAAAGTCCATAGGACAGATTATATTTTTGGAAAATATTTGCTAAGCATGTAGTAAATTCTTTCATTCTTTTAGTTACTTGCTACCAAAAGACCATTTCTAAATGTCTCTTTTTCCATTCTAAAAATCATGATTGCAAATTGTATGAGGAAAGTTCCTGGAATTAATTTGTTGTCTTAACAGGATACCAATTATAATTCCTTTCTTTAAATTACATGATTTAGTGTCTGATAAGCAAGAGAATCAGTAACTGGAGAAAAGTAGGAATCATAAAATTAGATAAGATGATTTCTCCAAGCATTTCTATTTATGGACTTCTACTCATGTGGCCTTGGAATGAAATAAAATCTAGACTTCTGCCTTTATTGGTAACTTATATTCTAAAAAAATTTCTCCTCTTATTGATGCCACTGCAGTGCCTCTCTCATTTTTATTTTCATGTTGGTCAGATATGGCTTGAATAACTCAAAAGTGTACCATAATCTAACTGGGGAGACAAACATTTAAGATTTTGAGTATCTTCTTTTCTCATCCTATCTTTTCTTTCAATATGTTTCCTTGTATAATCACTGTGTATAATCTTATTATGTTTCATGCTTTGATTTCCCAAGAGGATAGTATCCTGGGATTATTTAAATTTACGGATTCTAGCATATTGGCATTTTTTGTTGCATTCCTTTTTTGCACTGGCATCTTCCCTGCTTATTTTTCATAAGAAGTAAAATTAGTGTGTGTACATGTTAAGAATTATTTGAGAGTTTTTGCAGTTGGTTATCTTGATATTGTGCTATGCTTATTTTAAAAAAATCCAATAATTTTGCCTTTGGTGGAATTCATGAACTGTAAGCACCTATTGCTAAAAGAAAATATATTTACTATCTATGTTCATTATGCTGCCTGTTCTGCTCTCTTTTGCCTTTTGAAAGAGACTAATACAGGATATCAGAGCACAGAAATTTTCCAGTGAGAAGTAGCCAAATTAACTCTTATTTTTTACACAATGGAACCAATGTTTGTATCTAACTAGTTTAGTATAGCTTCTTCGATAAATATTGTTGGTTGTTTTACTCCAGAGATCTTGGAAAGTTAATTGTATTGCACTGCTTACCAAACAAACATATTTATAGATTTGTAAACTTGACATTTGTGAAATAATTCACTTTTATTATAACTCTCATTATGAATGAAGCACAGAATTGTATACACTGATTTTAAATGAATACAGGTCAGAGAACTCTAAGTAATGTATTAAAATTAGGTCTGCAAGACCTTGGTTTTAAGAAATGAACAGATATGATTTTTTCCTACATCTGCTTTTTGAGGGAGCATTTAAAATTATCACTGCTTAAAATATAAAACTGCCCAGATTGTAAATTTTGAATATATTCTATAGATATTTAAGTATATATATATTTAATAGGTTTTTATAGTGAAGCAATGTGTAGTGCTTAATGATAGTGGTAATTGCAGACTCTCTCTTATAGTAGACAGTTGTGACACAAGGAGGCTCCTGAAATACAAAAGTCAAAATTTTAAACTTGATGGAGTCTCTTTCTGATGCATTTCTGAAGCATTGAAAAAGACAGTGGGGACAACATTCTAAAAGATACAAATCTCTTACTTGTTTCAGGCATAAATTGTGACGAAAAATTTAAATATAAGCATCATACATTCTGTCTTAGTTTTAAGGTCACTTGAATATAAAGTGGTGAGAAATTATTGTATAAACTTAAAGGATTTGGTGAAGCTTCCTTGATTCCCCCCTTGTGCTCCCCCCTCCGATTTCCTAACTATGTGACTTCTTTCTTTTGAATACCAGCTGAGATAATCTTACAATTTTCCTTGTTGATGTCTTCAGAGAATTGAGTTTAAGGTAACATGCATTGCTGCTACTGATGTGCAATCCATCTTACGTCTATTTCTGTTAGAGTAACAGAAGGGTAATCATATAAATGCTGGAAGATGCAGACATCCACATTAAGAAATTTATAACTCTATGCCAACTACTGAATTGAATCCCACTGAGTCATACAGCTCTCAGTTCCAGCCTTTACATCTTGCTGCTTCATGTTAGCCTTTTCCAACTTGATGGTCTCCAAGTTGAAACAAAATTTCCTAAGTTCTTAATCAGCATAAAGTCCTCATGGAGTTGTCAAATTGGGAAACAGTGCTTAAGAAATGTAGCAAATGAGAAACCCAGCTTTTTAAATCTTGGAAGAAATAACCTTTTGTTACAATATGTCTGTCTGAAGTAGGAGGCTTATTTTGGGGAGAGACTAAAATAATTCTCACAAATTCCAGTTGCAATTATCTCCTTGCTTACAGAATGTGAACCCTGCTAGGCCAATAGTAAGATCTTGCATTTTAGACAAACAAATGTTCTATCTTGTCTGACTCTTAAATTATTACAGTACATATCCAACACTAATTGAGTAACTTCCAAGTTTTGATCTTGTTGAATTCTTGTTAGGGATATTTTTTATGTTTAATAAATGAGCCGAGGTGGCGCAGTGGTTAGGGTGCAGTACTGCAGGCCACTTTAGCTGACTG